TCAGGTTGATGAGTTTTTGCTTTTGAATTATATGAGTTCCTTATACATTTTGGATATTAATTTCTCAGATAGATGATTTGCAAATGTTTTCTTCTGTAAGAAAAACTGCCTTTTCCTCTTGTTGATTGTTTATTTTGCTGTGTAGAAGCTGCTTAGTTTGATGCAGTCCAGTCCCACTTTTTAATATTTGCCTTTGTTCCCTGTGCTTTTAGTGTCATCTCTAAAAAAAGGGTTGATAAGACCAATGTCAAGGGTCTTTTTCCCTATGTTTTCTTCTAGGGGTTTTATAGTTCCTTTGTTTGTTTTTTTAAAGATTTTTTTTTTTGGACACACAGAGATTACAAGTAGGCAGAGAGGCAGGCAGAGAGAGCAGAAGGGAAGCAGGCTCCCCGCTGAGCAGAGAGCCCGATGCGGGGCTGGATCCCAGGACCCTGAGACCATGACCTGAGCCGAATGCAGAGGCTTCAACCCACTGAGCCACCCAGGCACCCCTATTCAAAAAAATACTTACTGGACCTGTGTTATGTGCCACTTCAGGTGTGGTATAATGGTGGCTTCTACCCCCTGGTGATTTTGGTGGCTTGAGCCATGGTTGTCATGAGGTTGTGGGTATTGAGAAGTGGAGAAATTCTGGAACATACTGATTTTGGAAATACATGGATCATGTCTTCCTCTGCTCAGAATGGCTCCCTACTTAATGCCAATAAAAGTCAGAGACTTTACAGTGGCTTAACAAGTCTCTACGAATCTAATACTTATATTTTACTCTGATATCTTCTACTAATTTCTCATTTAATTTTAGCAGACTGCTTCCTGATACTCTTTGAAAATGCCTGGGGCTCTGTCACTGATTCAGGGCCTTAACATAATCTGCAGTCTGAAGAATCCTGCCCCAGGTATCCATAAATGTGGCCACCGCCCTCATCTCTTCTGGGTCTTTGTGTAACCTAGTCTGCTCTAGCTCCTGAAAGTGGAAGCACATTCCCTCTCCTCTCCTGCTGTTATTCTCCCGATTTTAGCACTTACCAGCATTTCCCCTCCCAACTAACAGGCTTATTTGTATGTCTATCAGTTGTGTCTTATCCTCCATTTGAATGTCAGTGCCATGAAGGCAGAGGTTTTTGTCTTCTTTACTGATATATCATTGTTTAGAATAGCACCTAACACAAGGTAAATGATCAATAAATATTACCAGGAGTAACTTATGAAATAAGTTACTCTTTTCAAAAGCCACAGACTATTTGAACCTTTGCTAAGTAGGGAAGTGTTCTTTTGTAGGAATGAGATGGTGTTAACTCAGCCTAACAGATAGCTTCTTGCCTCTCTGGTTATTTATTCAAATTTTCTTGAGTTTTTATATGCTTAAGGGAAGCTCAGGAAATATTGTTGTCTGCTCTATTGCGAACTCTGGGGCTAGCCTCTGGGATACATGGGCCTCTTCTTGAAGGAGAGATACTAAAGTATATCAAAAGTTTTAACTAAGTGTGCCTGGGTGTATTGTAAAGAATAATTATGTTACTTAAATTGGGAATCTTGTCTGATGCAGACACAGACATCTGAAATTTAAGGCCTTGGTATACTGAGAGGTCCTAGAAAGGAAGGCGTGGTATGCCAGGCTGAGGACTGCATGGGAGGAACACCCAGCAAGCAGGATCAAACGGGGGTGGGGGGGAGCTGCAGGCTAGAGCGAGGCCCCATGGGAAGTGCTTTACTGGGGGTCGGGGTGGGTAGACAACCAAAGGGTTGCGAGGACTTCATTGGTCGGTTTGAATGTCACTAGGTCATAGTCGGGAGGGCAAGAAGGGGAAACTTGTGGCAGGGACCAGACTTCTCACCTGTGAACCTATTTTCCTGGGCCAGGTGCTCACAGTCTGTCTGAAGATGTTGAATCCTCGGGAAATACAAAGTTTTAAAAATACAAAATACACGGGGTGATATTAGAAATGAATGCACAAGGCTTTGGATCCACACAGAATAGTCACCCTGGCAGTCTACAAATGGTCTGTTTCGGATTGAACGCTGTCCCAGTGGCATTATAGTCCTAAACACATAAATCTAGCCTTGTAAAGCCTACGTAAATGTGCAGGGGTGGTGTCTGTCTCTTGTCTCTCTCTGTAATATCCAGATGTCCTCCTTAGAGCTAGCGCCAGAGAGCTGCAGAAACCTCCCAGGCTGACCCTCCCCTCGCCCTGCCTGCAGCCCCCATTGATCCTCTAATGTTTTTAATCAGTCTTGCTAAATACTTCCTGTAGGGAGAATGAGTCGTGATGAGAAGTAATCTTGCGGCTTCTCTATTCTGAAAAATTCAATCACTGATCTACAGATACTGCTTATTCATCATGATACCCCAGTGCAGAAGAGGGGGATTAAATTTCATTCTTAAAGGTTATGGGATCCCTCAAGGCTTAGAGTATAGTAATGAAAAATTGAGACCCTAAAAAAGGGATTCCAGAATCTGCATAGTGAATAAACTCTCACTAGACCTTGCTTCTGATGTGGATTTAGGATTATGTGCATAAGAATATGCCATTTGCTTTTTACTAGAGCCTTAGCAATTTTGCTATATTTCATATATAACTTCTTTGAGTTTTTTTTCCTTCAGTTTAAAGCAAATTCTATACAGTTTTTCTGAGGCGGTATATAATTTCTGGGCCTATTCCCCACTGGTCTGGAGTGGCCTTACTAATAAGTCCTCTTAGTTAAGATTAGAAGCCATTTCCCCCAAACAGAAGCAGTCTCCTCAGCAGGCCTAAGCCTAATTGCTTACAAGTTACCCTCTTGCTCTGAAGATTAACAGATGTCCCTGTCTCTGTCTATGTATTCAGAGTAATACGTGCTTCCTAGGTTGCGTGCTCTTCTTGGACGCTGAGTCTAATGTTTTGAGTTCTTGAAAGATCGCCAAAACCAGTATTGTGTATGGGTCTTAATAAACTCTAGCTTTGACATGAAGTATCTTACCCAAAGTAAAAATTCCCATTCTCCCTACATTCTGATAGAGTCAGAAAACTCATTTCAGATGTCTTGGTTCTTCTGTATAATTTGCCTTTTGTCTTTTTATGGAAACCCATTCTGATTTACGTATTCCCACAATATAGCAATTAAGCTATTTCTTCCTTAAGTGATGTGTCATTTCTTTCAGTGTCTTCACTTACTCTTTCATAAACACTTGACTCTCTTCGATGTGTTAGGCACGATTAACAGTGGGACCAGAGAAACACAGTGGGACCATGAAGCCTTTGGCTTCATGGACTTCATACCACTTACTCTTCTAGGAGCTGTACAGGTCATATGGGTGCTTGGTTAATGTTATTCTTTTAAAACCTTGGCATCTTTATGGACAAAATCTTATTTAAGCTCTCTTTCATGAAAATTGTTTGTTTAAAAACCTAACAACCACATACTCCCTACTTTTAAGCAATTTCTTTTTTATTCCAGATGGAATGATTATTATTACAGTCCATTTTTATTATTTTTAAGGTTTTCTTGTGCTACTTTAAATGCTTCAGTCCTTCCTTTTCCATAATGACTATATCCACTTTGTAGATACATTATGAGATTAGGATGAGTATAGAAGAAGGTGTCTTGTGTTCTCTTCTCAAGCCCACTGTGGGCTGCTTTATTCAGGAGAAGGTTCCTCTGCTCTCTTTTACTTCCCCACAACCCATCTTTACCCTTTGTCTTATATAGAAGGAAGTCAGCAAAGTAATATTATATATTAAAATCCTGGAAATACATTTTCAGCAACAGGGGAACATTTAAATAAATTATACTATAGGAAATGCTATCTTGAAAGTGTTAAGTGGTGGAAAAATAACATATCAAACTATAGGTAATAATAACAAAAATGTTAAAAACATATAACTGTAATAATACCAAAAATAATATGGTGGTAGAATAAGAGCTAATGTTTTTATTATTTTTTAAATTTTTATTTAAATTCCATTTAGTTAACATATACTTTACTGTTAGTTTCAAGGGCAGAATTTAATGACTTATCAGTTGAATATAACACCTAGTACTCACCACATCCTCTGCCCTCCTTAATGCTCATCTCCCAGTTATCCCATCCCCACACCCATCTCCCCTCTAGCAATCCTCATCTGTTTTAAAAAAGGGAAAATAACATAAAGCTGTATTGGCATAAAAATATCTGGAACCTTCAGTTTGTTCTCTATTGTTAAGAGTCTCTTATGGTTTGTTCCCCTCTCTGTTTTCATCTTAATTTATTTTTCCTTCACTTGCCTTATGTTCATCTATTTGTTTCTTAAATTCCACATATGAGTGAAATCATATGGTATCTTTCTCTGACTTACTTTACTTAGCCTAATACCCTCTAGTTCCGTCCACATCATTGCAAATGGCAAGAGAGTAATAGCTAATAATTTTTAGAGAATCACTATGTCATGAACATGTTCTAAATGCTTTATACTGAACTCCTTTGAGTACCTCATTTAAATCCCACAACAAACTTATCAGTTGGCAAATATTATCCAATTTTTGCACATGAACATAAAAATGAAGCCCTGAAAGTTTAGGCAATATTTCTAGGCTCAATAAAAAGATGGTATAGGTTCTCAAGATACTTGAATTCTAGTGGGGTGATGAACCTTTGTATTTATAAGAAGAGCCCATGGGTATGCTATGGGGTGGATGGGAGAGACACCAGCTGCAAAGTCAGGGAAGATTCCAAATGGAAGGAACACATAAACAGACTTGTAAAGGAAGAGTTGACCAGTTTTCCAGGTCAACAGGCGGATGGGAAAAACAAAATTTATACTTGAAAGAGAATGGTCTCGAATTGTGACTGCTTCTCACCAATTATGCAACTTTAAACAAGTAACTTCAATCCTTCATCTGAACAAAAGAAATTATATCTACCATTTCTCTGTGGCTTATCACAGAAAATATAGTATTAGAAGCTCTTTTTCATTGTTAGATGCTATTTAATTATTGGAAATACTTTAAATGTGTGACTTTCAGTTTTGCTTTGCCTTGCTTAGGTAGATGTAATCGTGACCTTGGGAGGTCTTGGTGGGCGTTTTGACCAGATTATGGCATCTGTGAGTACCCTGTTCCAAGCTACTTGCATCACTCCTGTGCCAATTATAATAATCCAAGAGGAATCTCTCATCTACCTGCTTCAACCAGTAAGTGAAGAGTAAATATAATGTCAGCACTTTGCTTCCACAGAACTTTTAACATTCAAATAGACTTGCAGAAAACACGAGCCTACTGTGTGTCTTTGAAGTTGACACATGAGTGAAGTTGATCATGTTGGCCTACTTGTGTTTACCCTGTTCTACTGCCTCAGAGCATGGAACAGCAAACATGTACAGGAGAAGCCTCAAAGTTTTCATTTTATTATGCCCAGGAAAAAAAAAATCTTGTAACTTTTAATTAAATTGACTAAGAATTAAATTTAACACTTTTGCATTTTGAGCAGCTGAATGTGAATGCCACTTGAGAAAAATCTCAACAGAGGAAACACAAAGCTTGGCAAATATTTCAAATGGAATTCTCATATATTTTCAGTGTTGTCGTTATAATTGGAAACTGGATTTGATTTTGTTAAGCACTAAAAAGAAAATCTTTAGCTTTTACTCTTCATAGGTTGCCTGCTTATTAATTTCACTGCCTCAGAATAAATTTCTAATGATCATGTCATTCACTTCCCATGATGAATATCGAGGAGATTTTCTATCAACATAGTGCTTAGAACAGAATTCTTATTAAGTAAGTTTTATAAGGTTGATCAGTGAGTTCATCTAGAAAAAAAATCATCTGGTAACATTTTTAGAAGATAGTGGACAGTTGTTCTTCTTTTTTGCCTCTCATTGTAATGTACTGCTTCCAGCATTGCTTCTACCCCATCTGCTATCTACCATCTGTAGCATGTCATTACCTAAAAATTGTTGTTCGGTTAATATAGTGAGTATAATGCATGCTCCCTGTTGTTCAGCCAGCTTTGCATTTTTTTCCCTTGCTCTTTGCATTGCCTAGCTTTCTGGAACACTTCCTATGAGATGTGAAAAGAGAGCTGAAGAATTCAGTTTTCAAACTCCATACTGTCCATTTATTTAGTCAACAAACAGTTTCGGAGTGCCTGCTGTTCATTGCACTGCTAGGCAGTGGAGGGCTAAGAAAACTAGTAACATGATTTTTGCTCTCTAACACATGTCTGGTGAAGAAGTCATGTGTAAAAACATAAACATAAAGCACTGTTAAAAAATTGGTACATAAACGAGATGAAAGATTATATGATTTGGTCATAAGTGTAGTAAGGAAAGCCCACTCAGGCATTCACATTTTATTCACTCAGTTAATTCAACAGATATTTATCCTGCTATATGCCAGGCAGTTACTTACCCAGGGATGTGGCAGCCAATTAAAGAGACAAAATGCCTGGTTTTCATTCTCTTGAGGCTACATTGGAACAGTATCTTCTAGAATGAGTGGATGTTTGCTGTGGGAGATGGTGAGGAAGCCATGCGAGGCAGAAGGAGCCACGAAAGAAAGAGAGAGGCACAGGGCATGTCGTAGGATCTGCAGTATGGAAAATACTAGAAGATGCAACTGGAAAACTACTTAGCTCATGAAGAGCCTTGAGTTCTGCACAGTAGAGTGTGGACGATTTTGCTATAGGGAATGGAAAGTCATTAAAATATTTCACTTAGTCGAATGACATGAGCAGATATGCTTCTTAGATTTCTCATTATGTGTTTGTTAAATACCTATTAATCTTCTAACAATTTCTGAAGCGTGAAACTTTCTACCATGATAAATCATTGAGCTTCATTATATCGAATTGATGGTATGATTGCTAAAGTAGTCACCTGTAACTTGGCTGTAGGTAGATATTCTAGTGAACAGATAACCAGTTAGTTGAAGCTGCAGTACAATAATTCTTAAAAAATGGAAGATTAACTGATAGAAAAGGCCACATCTGAAAAATGACTTTTGCCCTTAAGAATTGGTCAGTGCGGGGCGCCTGGGTGGCTCAGTGGTTAAAGCCTCTGCCTTCGGCTCAGGTCGTGATCTCAGGGTCCTGGGATCAAGTCCCACATCGGGCTCTCGGCTCAGCAGGGAGCCTGCCTCCTCCACCTCCTCTCTCTCTGCCTGCCTCTCTGCCTACTTGTGATCTGTCAAATAAATTAAAAAAAAATCTTAAAAAAAAAAAAAAAGAATTGGTCAGTGCATTTGGTGTTCTGTACCATCGTGGTAATGTGGACCATGGGGGACTTCCTAAGATGCATTCAGCTTGGGATTCCGGGGATTTCCTCCAACGACAGGTTGCTGTCTGTTGTCTGTTGAAAACCCAGCCATTAGTTTTTCAAAGACTGTCTTGGCACTATTCTTCTGCCTTCCTTAGCAACTCCAATTAATTGTAGTTAAGATCCTGCAGTTGTACCATGTGTATCTGCAAACTTCTCTTTCATGTCATCTGTGCTTTAACCTCCCTGGGCTGCATTCTGAAGGTCATCACGTGTGCTCCATGCTGCTCTTCTGCTTCAGCTGGGTCTGTTTGCTGCTAAAAGCATCCGCAGAGCTTTAAATTCCTGCCATGATTCTTCTTTCTTATATGCTCGTCCTGTACTCACTTTTTTAAGATCTTTTTTTAAAAAAAAAAATTATTTATTTATTTGACAGACAGAGATCACAAGTAGGCAGAGACGCAGATAGAGAGAGAGAGGAGGAAACAGGCTCCCCGCTGAGCAGAGAGCCCGATATGGGGCTCAATCCCAGGACCCTGAGATCATGACCTGAGCTGAAGGCAGAGGCTTAACCCACTGAGCCACCCAGGCACCCCTCAAGACCTTTCTTTAAAACATAATTGTCATACTTTATGGTCTAGAATAATTCTCAAACCTGTGGTCTTTATAAATCCACTGTCTTTTGTATTCACTTTCACTTTTATATTTTGTAACCTCGATTCCTTCTGTGTGTGATTTTTGGCCACGACCTTATATTCCTGGGAGCTTCACTTGTGGGAATTATTTGAAGTGTGAGTTAAAAGTGAGTCCAAGGAGAATTTAGAGCAGACTCCCAGTCCTGTTATTTGTAGGCATTAACAATTTAGGACATCTGTGGAGACTTTCTGACAGCTGCAGAGTGCCAGGACTCGGTCGGCAGTTTTCCTAGTGGTCCGGCGGGAGTGTTATTTGTACTCATCTCCCACTGGAAGTCTCTGCTTTACATGATGCAGTCTCCTTTTGCACTCCCACCCTGGACAGGCCTTTGGCCTTGTCTCCTGATGACCTTCCCTACTTTGATGACTTGGAAACCAAAGCTCAAGTTCATCTGCTTCGGCAAACACCAACTATTTCAAAGATGAAAGTTAGATTTGGTTTTCTTTTTCAGTCCAACCTTAGTTTTTGGCTTCTGAGTACCCTTAAAAAAACAAAACAAAACAAAAAAAAAACAGATGTTTGATGCCTTTTAAAAGATTAATTTTTTTCTAGCACTTTTTATTAAGCTGGTCAGGGTACTAATTTGTCATACTGCTTCTGTAAGTATGGTGTTACCCCGCCTACGTTACAGGAGTAATTAACCCGCAATCTCAGAGGCTTACCCGGGATTATCTGTGGAATATCTGAGTGGATATCAGAGTGGAATATCTGGTCTGGTCTGGGCGGCATCCTCCATTTTGTATCTAAGTCAACTGAAAGACACTGTGGCATCTGTGAAAAAGATAGCTAGAAAGTGGCACTGCATGTTTTTAAAGGCCACGGCCAGCTCTGTCCTCTGTCACCTTTGGTGGAGGACAGAGTGACACTCCCCAGGCCACTGCAAGGCAGTCTAGGAAAATAAGGCCGTGGCCCAGGAAGAGGAACTACTGTGTGAACACAGAACATTGTCTCTCTCAAACTGCCAGAAACTGAAGTTTGGGAAGAAAGTCTGGAATCATGACCCTACATAATTTCTAGGAGAATACTTTTTTCCTCATTTATAAAATATATTAAACTTTAATTAATTGTTAAAACAGAATCCTCAGTTCTCCCAACAGAGTTTTGTATCATAGTCTACATTCTCCGAAAACAATGCCTCCTGGAGTCTTTGTGTGATACTGTGCTTTTGTCTCATTGAAATAACTGGGGGGAGGGGCGCCTGGGTGGCTCAGTGGGTTAAAGCCTCTGCCTTCGGCTCAGGTCATGATCCCAGGGTCCTGGGATGAGCCCCACATCGGGCTGTCTGCTTGGCGGGGAGCCTGCTTCTCCCTCTCTCTCTGCTGGCCTCTCTGCCTACTTGTGATCTTTGTCTGTCAAATAAATACATAAAATCTTAAAAAAAAAAAAAAAAAGAAAAGAAATAACTGGGAAATTACCTGTCCTAAGAAAATAATTATTATACAGTGTGGGACAGAAACTTCCTGCACAGTCATACCCTCTGTCATGTAGAGGAGTGACAGTATTTAGTTAGCATAGACCTCACCTGTGAGACAAACGGTGCCGGCTTTTCTCCTCTTTGGCACTAGTTCTAGAGAAATCTTCCCAGATTGTGGTCTTCCTCTCTCTCTCCCTCTCTCCCCACCACCCCCCCAAAAATAAGTAAAATCTTAATGGAAAAAAAAAATCTCCCGAGAGACACATACAAGGTCCCAGCTTTTCAACTGCTTTTAGTAAGAGAACACTAAGACAATTATTGGTATAAATACAAAAGTCAAAATGAGTATGTTTGAGGATTTAGGATATGAACCAATCTTACATAGTGTGCCATATTTTTAAGCAGTTTTAATTATATACTTATGAACTGTGATTAACACCAAAAAGTAATTGAAAGCTGTACTAAAATTAGTGCATAGAACCATTTTGCATTCTAGAAGTGGGACTCAGATCATTGAACTGAACTGACTTTGCCATGTGTTTTTCTATGTGTTTTCATAGAACTATGTGTGATGTTATCCATGTGCTAGAGCATACATCTGTGTTAGGCAGTGTGTAGGTTTTGGGGAGATATTCAAAAAGGGTGTCTACAGTTACTGTTCATAATTAATAGGACTGATCACAATCACAATCACAATGGACAGAAGAAGCCTCGTAACTTTAAATTGAAACCGTTTTCAAATATTGTGGAACTAGGGCCCAAGAAAATCAATCTGGTGTGCTTCAGTGCCGAATAAAGAATGGTTTGAAACTTTTAAAATGTATTT